TTCAAGTTCAAGTTCAGTTCAATTTTGAACTGAACTTGAACTTGGCCAAAAGTTCAGTTTAGTTCAGTTCATAGGAACACTACTCTGTAGATTACAGAAACAAATTTTATTAAAATTTGTCTATAGCCTAAATCAAATTATTAATCTAGTTTGTAGAGTTTAAGAGCTTAACTATTAAGCTATAGAACCCAAACCCTAAAAATATAAGTTTTAAATTTTTATTATTTAAAAATTTCTTAATAAGATTTTTAAAACAAAATTTAAAATATATTTTTTAATTAAAAAATTTATTATTAAAATTAAAATTTAAGATTTTATTTAAAAATTTTAACTATTTCTTAAAATTAAAAACAAATTTGTCTCTAATACAGATAAAGAGATAATACTCTAAAAAGTTATTATTAGTTTGGTATATAGTATTAAAGGTTAATACAAGTAGTTATATTTTATTGTTCAAAATCTTTTATTTAATTTATCTTATAATTATGCATATTAATATATTCTTTTTTTTAAAAACAAGTAGAAAGAAGTATTTTAATTATTATTACAAATTATAATAAAATTTAATTAGAAATTTTATTTATTTTTTTGTTTTTTTTTGTTTTAGTAATCCTTCTTTTATTATATAAATCAGTGTAAAATACCTTTGTAGAGGCTAAACTACTTAGTAATTTATATATGTCTGTACTAATAATGAATTACTTGATTTATTAGCAAGAATCTATAAATAAATTCTACAAGAAAGACCTAGATGTAACCCACCTAGTGATTCGTCTTTACCTCATCTGGGATTCCCAACTTACTAAAAATTTATACTCAAATATTTGTAGTAGGTACCTACTATCTTGTTAGGATCACTACTCTATATAATATATTATCAATTTGAAAAAAATTCTCTAACAAAAAAAATTAAAAAAGCAAATAGGATAAAGAGAATTATGAGAAAGAGAATATTTTAAAAAAGAAACAGATAAAAAATATATATATTAAAAAAGGAGATTGAAAATACAATACAAGACTAAAAACTAAAGATTCTATTTATCAAATTGGTACCTACTAACCAGAATACTTATTTATACAATTGTAGTAATTAAATAAAACTTAGCTAACATAAAAAAAACTAATACTAAATGCATTTTAATCTGTAACAAGGATTAAAAATTATATGCATATGATATTGTTATTAGACTATATATCTCAGAATCTCTTTATTACCCTAACTTAAACCTATATTCTATTTCAAAATATAACAAATATATCAACTTCACATGTTCTCCCAATTTTGTCTCATCTAATTGGTGTGTAAATTCTTAAAAACCATCTGAGTCCTTAATATACTGGAGTCATATTTCCAAATAAAAAATAAATTACTTTCTATGTCTAAATATATCAAATTGAAGTGCTTGTTATATCTATATAGAAGTCTATAATGAAAAAAAGTTAAAATTTACTAGCAAGAATGCTATACCAACTAAAAAATTAATAGAAGTAATTAGCTGTTATTTCAGTAATTTCATAGTGTTAGGCTGATCTTTAACAAAATAAATCATTAAAACAAATTATGAAAGCCAATGGCTAGGAGTATATAGTGTAGTAGTTGCTATATAATTCAAAAATCTATATTAGTTATATGTCACATATATATTTTTTAATATAGGATTAAATGATTGACTCATCTAAATTTTATATATAAAATTTAGGCAAATTTTGCTTGCAAATTCTCTTGTATTCAAAAAATTATCTTATAAAATTTGAAGAGCAGTTAAAAGTAAGGTAAAAAAATATCATTATCATAAAGCTAACTAATTTTTTTATAATTTTTACTATTTATTTATATATAATAATAAGTGATATATATTATTTACTCAAATAGGCAATAAGAAAATATCTAATAAATATATTTAATTGATATTTCCAAATTGTCAATTTTGGATAAATAATATACATCACTTATTATAATATACAAACAGTAAAAATTATAAAAAAATTGGTCAACTTTGTGACAATGATATTTCTTTTATCTTATTTTTAACTGCTTATCAAATTTATAAAATAATTCTTTGAATACAAGAGAATTTGCAAAATGCTGCCCAGAAATTAAACTGATAGTATCTTTATTATTAAATATGCTTAAAAAGCAAAATTTGCCTAAATTTTATATATAAAATTTAGATGTATCGATCATTTGATCTTATATTAAAAATTTTATACAAATAATCTGTGTGACAAATTGTGTGACTGTTATGAACCAAGATCCTGACAAATATTATATAAAGTATATATAGGATAGTAATATACATTATACTAGATAACTAAAAAACTATTAAGACCTAAAAACAACAAACCAATAGTAGTAGTAGGGTCTGGCTTGAAATATGAGATTAGTATATCAAGAAAAGTAAGTAAGAAGATTAAAGTATTTATATTGTATGAAAAAATGCTATCTGATAAAATTAATATAATATGATTACTTTAATGAAGATATTATATGAACTAAGCAAAGCAAACTTAAAATAAGTTTCTGAACCAAAATATGATACTAATGCTTTTTATATAAAACTAGTAGTAATACTAAAAATTTCAATAACAGGTATACCAAATTGAAAGACTATTAAAGACCAATTTTCTAAAAGAACTTATTTGAAAGTAACCAAGATTTGATAGTAAGACATAGAGTAATATAGTAGTTAACTAGAAGTAGTTTAAATACCAAATCTAACTATAACCAATATGTAATGAGAATATAGAATACTTCGGTAGATTTAGATTATCAATAAATTTATTTAAACTTGTATTCTTAATAATAAATATATAACTATATTAAAGCATTTACTATATCATATATCTAATAAAGATATAAGATATGATCTCACCTTAACACCAAAAAAACTTATATTTTTAAAATTTTTATTATTAAATTTTGAATTTTATTAAAATACACCTAGTATTTTACACCTATGTATATATTATCTTAAAAACTAGCTAATTAATTGATGTAGATATTCTAAGTAAAAATGTTCTACATCTAAAAATTCTTTCCAAACTCTAATTCTAACCTTAATATTAACTTTAATATGAAAAAATTAGTATTAAAAATTTTATATACAAACTTATAACTTAGAAATTTTAAAAAACATAATAAAAACATAAGGGCAATGTCATTTATCACCTGATTTTTTTTTATTAGAGGCTTATCTTTTCTCCCCTCTCTTACTATATATCTTGATCAGGTCTTTATATATAATTTTAAATTTTTTACCTCCCCTCCTCCTAAAAAATCACCTGATTTTTGTTACGTCCCTAAGAGTGTTTTATAACAATTGAATTTTTTTTTAAATTTTTTAAATTTCTATATATCTATTTATAAAAATTTTTTACTATTAATACAAGTTTTATTTTTTACAAATAAAATAAAAAGATTTATAATAAAGGTTGTAATCCTTTATACAAACTATATAATATTATTTTAGAAACTATAGATTTAAATTTAATAATTATAAAATTAATCAAGAATAAATAAATAATTTTTTAATTAACCTTTTTTTTTATAAAATTAAATATTTTAGGCTTATAACTAATCTAAAAATTTTTTCTTACAAAATAAAATCAAAATTTATAATTATATATAATCTTTATTCTTAATTATTAATCAGAAGCAAATTTATAATAAAATTTTGGCAAATTTGCCATGAATTGACATACGGACGAAGAGATAATTTGACATAAGGGTTCTAAATCGACTGCATAGACTAATACAGTAGGGATTAATGATCTCAAAAGTTCACAGCGTAATACTGTAACCTAAAAATTGACAATGACGATATAAAACCCGTTGCGTATGTAATGGAAGAAGCTTTGCAACTAAAAATTACCTTCTTTAACTGGCCACCCACAAGTTTATTTCTGTGACCCTGTACTAAATCAGTGTTATTGAAGTGAAGTCTCTCCCAAGTCACAACAATATAAATAAATTAACCAATTGTAACTATGCTCCAATATTAATTTTTTTTTAAGCTATTGTTACTATGCTTTTTAAAAAAAATGAATAAAGCAAGGGATTTATATGATTGGTATACAGAATTATGTTGGCTTAAAAAAGCTTTATTAGAATTAAATAAAACAGAGCATATTTATTGCGGAATTGAAACAGTATATATTTATTGGCGGCCACATAGTATTTTACCTTATATCGCTCCAGAAGTCTTGAGTGAAAAACCAAAAATACATACTCAATCTGCAAATATCTATAGGTTTGGTGTTATTATGACCGAGGTATCATCAGGAGCGCGTGCATTTGACAGAAATGACTTTAGTTTTTTCACTCTTAAATGTGCAATTCTTGATGAGGGATTAAGACCTGAGTGTGCATCTGGTACACCCAAATATTACGTAGAATTGGCCAAACAATGTATGGATGCTGATCCTAATAAACGGCCTACTATAAAAGATATTCATAATAAAATTAATCATTGGATAAATTCAAATGAAAATAAACAACTATTTGACAAATTTAAGGTACAATTGTTTGATAAAGTTGAAAAATTTGAGAAATTTAAAACAATTCAATTTAATTATAATATGAATAGATTAGGTTTAATGAATTAACCAATCCCCAAATTGTAGGAAAAGATGGATTCAACACTGTATATAAAGCAACATGGTCGTATCGGTTGGATTATGGACCAGATTATGATAGCGATGATTTAGTCAAAATTCTTGAATCGGCTGAGATTGTTACTCTCAAGACTATAACTCCAGAAGAATTTGAAAATCACATGAAATTAAGTAAGAAATATGCACTGTTTGATGTATATGGATTGACTCTGAAACCAGAAACGGATGAATATATGGTATTATTTCGTTATTCTAAAAATGGATGTTTTCATAATTATTTAAAAAATTACTTAGAAAATTTTCAAGGTTTAGAGTGGGAAAAAAGAATAAAGATGCTTTTAGATATCTTGATTAATTTAAACCAAATTCTTAATATGTGATTGACTCATTCAGATTTTTATAGCGGAAATATTTTACAGTATGATGTCATTGATGATTACAAAGTATCATCTTATGTCTTTGATTTAGGCTTAGCTAAAAAAGAAAATGAGAAAGCTGATGAGATTTATTGCGTATTATCATATGTTAGTCATGAATTCTTACAAGGAAAACCATTCAAACAGGCTGCAGGTGTTTACGGATTAGGTGTTATTATGTGGGAATTAACAAGACCATAAGATGGAAAACTGTTTGATCTTAATCTATTATTTGAAATATTTAAAGGAATGCGTCTTGAATTTGCACCAGGAACTCCTAAATGTTATGTAGAATTGGCCAAACAATGCATGGATTCTGATCCTGATAAACGACCTACTATAGAAGATATTCATGATAAAATTAATACTTGGATAAATTCAAATGAAATTAAACAACATTTTGAGAAATTCGAGAATCAGTGGTTCAAGAAAGTTGAAATTTTTAAAAAAATCCAACTTGAGTATAATATTAAATGGATACCATTTCATAGATTATCCGATGCTGAAATTATAGGAGAAGGCGGATTTAGCACTGTGTATAGAGCAATATGGTTGGATAAACCAGATTATAGTGAAAAATTATATAATGATGATATGCATGAATCATCTGGTATAGTTGCTCTTAAGACTATAACTCCGAAAGAATTTGAAAACCACTTAAAATGCCATAAGAGATTTATGTTAGATGTATATGGAATCACTCTGAATCCTGACACGGACGAATTTATAATGGTATTTCAATATGCTAAAAATGGAAGCCTTTATAATTACTTAAGAAAAAATATTCAAGATTTAGGATGGCAAAGAAAATTAGAGATGCTTAGAGATATTTTAATTAACTTAGAACAAATTCATAAAGTGGGATTAATTCATTCGGATTTTCATAGCGGAAACGTTTTACAAGATGATGATATTTTTTGTTACTCAGGATCGTCTTATATTACTGATTTAGGATTAGCTAGAAAAGAGAATGAGGTAACTGGTGAAATTTATGGTGTATTACCATATATTAGTCCTGAAGTTTTACAAGGCAAACCATTCACACAAGCTGCAGATATTTACGGATTAGGTGTTATTATGTGGGAATTTTCTACGGGACAGAGACCTTTTGATGGTTATAAATTTGATTGTGAACTTGCATTAAAGATTTGCTTTGGACTACGCCCTGAATTTGCACCAGAAACCCCTAAATGTTATGTGGAATTGGCTAAACTATGCATGGATTCTGATCCCGATAAACGACCTACTTCAGAAGATGTTCATAATAAAATTAATAATTGGCTTCAATTATTATGTAAGTGGGGAAATGAAATTTATCAAGAATTTGCAGAAGCCGACAAGAATTAACCGAAAACTGTCGAATCGAAACATCCTAATCACATGTATACGAGTAAAGCGTTCAATACACAGAAGATCAAACAATTATCAAAACAGTTAAAAAACATGAAATTAAGCCAACAAAGTAAATCGATTGATATTGTAGAACCGGAACAGTCAAAAGACATTAGATTAAGCCAAGCAAGTAAACGTAAACAAATCGACTCTGCAGAAACCGAAAGGTCAAAAAATATGAAATTGAGCCAACCAAGTAAACCAATTGATCCCGTTGAAATTCCAGGATTAATATTAAAAAATTTATAAAAAAATGTTTGCAAATGTAAATCAATTACAAAATTACAAATTTTATATTTTTATAAAATCGAAAAAAGTGTACAATAGGTATTTTCGATTTTTTTTTTTAATTTTATCTAGTTTCGATAAAATAGTTTTCAGATTATGATTTCATCATGTTTATGACATATATTACCACTGTTCAGGTTATGAATTTCATCATGTTTATGGTGTATATTACTATTGTTCTAATTGTAAGAATTGAAGACTTCCTGCGAATTAGTCTTTAAACAAACCGGTGAATTCCTACTTGTCATAAATATATCAGGTTGTTTCTAGACTTAGTCTGAGGGAAAAGGAGTAAAGGCACAAGATTTTGGCGACCTAACACTTCTCATTTTTTTTTAAATTTATCGTTATTATCCTTGTTTTCCGTATCTGGTATAAAATAAAAAAACAGCCACAGTAGGTAAAAATAATAACTTTACCGTACAAAACTTTATTTCTGGAATCTAAGGTAGATTTTAAAATCGTTAAGATCGGTTCTACCACAAAATCCCGACATCCAGGGACCCGTAAAAATTTGGATTTTATTTATATGATTTCCAAATTTGTATAAATAATTTCCAAATTTTTACGTGTCCCTGCCGACATCCCAAATCTCGAAACCATAATCCCGGCGTGACAATTAATTTTAAATTTTAATTGTCACGTCGCGTGATGTCAGTATTATGGCCTGTCGAGATTTTGGATGTCGAGATTTTGTAGTAGAACCGTTAAGATCATATAATACAACCGATCCTTTTAAACTCAGAGTTATAGAATTGATCTATGCGAGTGTTTTAAAGATACCAAACGAGATTCTTTTTTTCCTTTTTTAATCGTTTCGATTATTAAGTGATTATACATAGAAATTTCAATAATAACTGAATTATTTATGCCGATACAATAATAGATCTATATTTAAAAGAAACCAAATTTTCAATAAAAAGATTGTTGATCGGAAATGATTATTTCAGATTTAAAATTTTGATCTTTGATGTAATATCTTTAATGATAAGCAGGTTTATCTAACGAAGTATATAAATAAGTTATAGCAATCTTCAAAAAATTTATCACCGTTACATGAAAAAGCATAGGTTGATGTTATAGTAACTATGTCATACTACTGTAATAAAAGTTTAAGAATAACACGAATGGTAGTGATGTATGATCGCGCAAAGAAGTACAATAAAAATAAAATTAACAAGCATGTGTGTATGCAAATGTATATAAAATTTATTCAAACGTGATTTTAAAAACTAAATATCGAGTAAAATGTCGGATCCAAGTTTTATAAAATTTGTTAGGTTGAGTCCATAATGTTAATTTGGCAGTTTAAAAGCCCGAAGTTCAATATGGTCGTTAAATAACCAATGCGAGTGATCGTAACAGTGTTTTTTTCAAAAGCAATTATATGGATATCATTAATGTTTAATATGAATGATGGTTTGGCAGATATAGATTTCTAATTGTGAATTTTTCCATTAATACATTAAAAATAAAAATTATCCAAGACTGTATTACTTCAAATCGTTTGATAATTTTTTTTTTTTTTTAATATGTAATTCCAAAATTGGCACTGCAGCACTGATTAAATTAGCATCCGCTTTCTCATGCGGTGTAAGCTTACGTACCTGCAAGTACTGGTTTTTAAGTGGTAGCTTAGTTTGCACAACTTAGCTATCTTTTTGATCTACTGACCTTCCGTCAACTTGAACGAGTTTGATGTCGATCATCTACTTCAGTACTTCGCCGATCTTGTACGTTTTTTTCGTCACACTAACTCTAAATTCCTTTTCTCAATTGCGCCGTTTCCCTAATCCATCACATTCATTTACAATTTATTACACACATTTTTTATACTACCGTAACAATGCAGCTCTTGATAAATAAAGTGCTAGGCGACATCAAATAATCAAATAAGGTAAGAAAATGTTGAAATAGATGTATAAAATAATCAATAAAGATACACAGCAAAAATGAAGATTACAAGTTACGTTGTGCATTGTAAAAAAGAAGGGATTGATCACAGAAGGTGCTGTAGTTCTCGACATTTAAAATTCAGGGTTTCCTAAATTCTGAAGGATAATAGGATCTTAATAATGGTGGGTTTCAAAATTAATGACTGGACCTCTGATCTGAATAAAATAGATTATTAAAATAAGTAATATATAAATTCTATTTTATGATAACATTAATATCTTCAAAACCAAAAGTTTATAAATTTTATAAAAATAGAATATCTATTTCATTTTCAGACTTTGAAAGTTAGAAACACAAGAGTTTTAATCACCCACTTATTTTCAAAATAAGTTAATTGACTTTGATATATTTGTTAATATTTTTGCTAGCACAGTAACTACATAAAAATATTTATGTATGCACCTCATATTTATCGAGAATAAAAAACTCAATTCCTGTCAAAACATTATTAAAAACGTTTCGTACTGATAATTCCTTTCTAGATTAGTAAAAATCCGTAACCCTATTAATTCGATCAAGTCTTTTAAATAATAGTTTTAGTGTGGTATTTCAGGTAGTATTAATCATTAAGTGATCTTATTCTGGATCAACAAACATACAAAAATAAACAAAATATACTTTGTAATATTGTTAAATTTTAAATATTAAGACCTGCAGAGTAATGTAGCTCAAAAAGGGAATGTTTGAAGAGAGAAGTTTCGTATAACCACAATAATTTAACTAAAGATTAGAAGAGTTAAGTTTATTTTGGTTGGGGTTAGTGTAACTATTAAATAGTGGCAATATGCAGTTCAATGTATAAAGTTCATGGACATTATTAATTCAGTCCCATACATTTTTACTGATATCCAAGATAGATTTAAATATTAGATTTCGTATTTTACTGATCTATGTAAATAATAAATTCACAAATCGGTTGAATGGGTCAACATGAAAATAAGATTGCACTGATTTTTAGAAAAGGAAATTTTAACAATGCCAATTAATCGCACGTACGTACGTACGTACGTACCTGGTACGTACGATATTCTGGATGTTCGTACAACTTCAAACATAAAATGGAACTTTCTATCGTATTACATAATGCATCAGTGCCCGTTTTACATTCCTGGAAAGCATTGAGAATTAATCCTAATTTATATCGAAAATTTTAATTTAAGATATCATTTAGTTAAACAACCATATAGACAATTTAATATTGTTCATATGCCAATAGTTGATTTACAAAGAGTAGTCATATGATTAAGTAAATGATTTTCTTAATTTGGAATTTGCAAAATATTTAGAAAAAAAAGTTTGTTATTCTGTAATGTAATACTAGATGTTTGATAATGCGAAAATATTTAAAAACCTTAATCAATTATAATATAAGAATAAATCAGTTCCAATTGAACTGTAATCAATGCTAAACAGAATTATTTCAAGTTCAAAGATGAATGGACTTTTCATCATATTCATTATATGCATCCTGACAACTAATTTGGATGCTTCTAATGCACCAGGTCACCTATACCGAAGGCAAGAAAATAATACTGTTAATCCACCATCGACCGCAGCATCAGGAATTTTATGTCCTACAACGCCAGTTCCTTTTACAACAACTGTAAATTCAAGTGCATCAACGACAGTATCAACTGTTACTGGCTCAACCACTTCGTTTGTTACCATTACAGGTACATATATACGTGTTTTTTTCTTTTTTGTATTTGTTATTTAAATTTTACGAGAACTATATAAAAATTTATTATATTAGGTCAAGCAATACCCAGTGTAATTACGACCACACTTCCTGCCATAGATTTTAATCAACCTATAAGAGCACGTAATGAAACAATACCATCTCAAGCTTATAAAGTTGCATCAGATTATAAAATTATCACTTCTAAACGAGGATTTTCTAATTGTGGTGGTATTATTGATATCGATGATTTCCGTATACTTTATTCTGCATCAAAAAAAACGTTTATTCCTTTTTTTAGAGGTCGATCTCCAGTTGTTGTAGATAATGGTAAGATAATTATTTGAAATTAATGTTAATCATTATCATGTAATTAATATACATAATTTCATCTGTTATTACTAAGCAACGGCTCGTGTTTATGTTCAAATATATGGAACGTCTGTTGCATTAGAATTTAATGGTATTCCCTGCTATGGAGAAAAGAACGCAAGTCCTTGTACTTCAGATAATGTAATTGATTCAGGCAACACATTTGATGAATCTATAGCAAAAAAAGTTGGGGGATTTTTAATTAAATGTAAGTGGTTCTTCATCCTTTTTTGTTATATGACTATTAAGATTTTTTCCCTAATAAGTGTTCAATATTATAGATGGATATTTTTCTTTAATTGAATCGCTTGGTGGTTATGCAATTTTGACAGTTCAAACTGGTGATAATGATCCGTACCTTGCCTGCGCAATGGCAAAGGTTGCTGACGATGATACTATGGCTGATTCACTTGTTTCTCCAAGTGCTGCAACCGCTTATACCGCTGCTTCGGCGGCAGTGGGTGTAGTATGTTTGGCCCTTGCTGCTGGTGGGATCGTCACTGTTGCCACAGTAGGGACTGATGCACCTCCTGATGAAGTTTATGATGTGGGTAATGAGCCACTTGACAAGGCAGAGAACGGAAACCTCAGTACACTTCCAGGAGGAGAAGAAATTGGTGGAGGAGGAGGTAGTGGTGGTGGTGCACCACCCAATGGATATTATGGAGGAGATGCACCAGGCATAGGTGATCATCCGGCAACCGAAACTCCATCACACATACAATACCCATCGTTTTATGACTTTATATTTTATACCCAATCGATCATTGCTACTGGATGGCTCACGTTAAATTTAACTTCTGAATATCGGAAATTCACATCAACGTTCTCATGGGCAATTGCACAGGGATTTATAAATCTTAAAATACTCGCTTCTGCCGCAAATAATTTACGTTATAACATTTGTGGTGTAATGCTTAGTACGAACACGAATGCAATATCAGCTCCAGGAACATGTGTGGACAGTGAAAATGGATACACATTACCACCAGTAGGGTCAAGTTCTAGTCTTACGTTTGGTACTAATAATAGTGTTCCTACAAGTACGCCACAAACTGTCACAAATCCGTATGGAATTGATTCATACGCTCATATAATTGGTATTCCTGTGGAAGACCTTCCTTTTGCCTCAATAATGGGATTCTTAGCTGTTACGGGTATTGCAATCACTTTGGTTCTTTTAAGTGCTATTGTAGCTAGCATAGTGATAAAATGTCGACACAATGCACCTGCATTTTGG